AAATCCAAAAATCCAAAGATGTTTACAGAATCTTTGGATTCGCATGTTGTTGGATTTGTTTGATTTCCAGTGTCTTTTTTGATTTTTTGGATAGAACCCAAAAAAACCTGGGATTTGTTTTTGGATCTTGCTGGTGTCGCTGGTCAAAATATTTATTATACCCTCTAGGTTTTTTGGATTGTGTATTGAAGCCACAAAAAAGACCTAGGGAATACAATGGTTTCGATCGGCGACCCCAACGAATTTCAAAGGTTTGCTAGGGAGTTTTTGGATTTTGTATTGAAGTCCAAACAAACCCTGGAGAATATCATGATTTTGACCAGCGACACCAGCAAAATCCAAGCATTTCCTAGGTTTTTTTGGATTCTACCAAAAAATCAAAAAATACAATGCAAATAAAAAATAACAAAAATTGCGAATCGAAAGATTCGGTAAACATCTCTGGATTTTGGGATTTGCCAGTGTCTCAGCTATTCGCGCTGTTTGTATAAATCTATGTCTCATTCCTGAGGCTCAGAACATGAATTTCACACACGGAGCGTTTGCGGGTGCTCCTGACAAGCTCACACCAAGGACGCGAACTTCAGCTCGGAGGTGAGGATATGATCCCTGATCCGTTCTTTGATGTCAACACGTGAAGAAGACACTGTAACAGACAAACGAACCCCCTCCCATTGTGATATTCCAGCAGAACCTACATTCTGAATAGATATCATTGATGTGATGGAATGTGTTTATGCTATGTGTCAAAAAGCCGTCGGTATTCATGCCTTAATAGCCTGCTATCTCGACTCCGAGTACGTTCTACAGCGCATGCAGTTTCAGGAGCATATCCTTGCAAAGCTCGAGAGAGCATACAGAGAAAATATTTATCCAACATTGTATATATGGTGAAAAATATTCGGGGTTTGGCGGTTAGCGTAAGAATGATAGGAAACTGGGACGACAGCGCAGGGTATATTTCTGAAATATGTTTGAATTACCCACCTTCCATCCGCTGACAAGCCACTATCTAGCCACAAACATTATTCCCACTAGACTTATTTGCTATTCAGCTTTTGTAACTGTAGTACCAGCTATATGTATTGAAAAAAAACATGTACTGAAAAGCTGCATTAGCTTCCCGTAAAGGTCCACTTAACACTATAGCAAATGTCACGAGAATTTATAGTAGCTAATTATATTAGTTTTCATCTCAATCTGCTAACTATTGAGAACGTGCTTTTTACAAAGGAATGAAATAACAATAGAATGCGATTTCAGTATGCGTTAAATATTAAGACATTTCATATCAATTACATGGTCCAAACATAATACAAGCGAGAACAGTGCATATAAATGAAACACCCAAAAGACAGGCAGCAAATATTCGATTTAGTAAATTTAGTATCATCGAAATATTAACGAAGTTGAACTACGCACTAACCGCAGACTCGCGAGGTATTATTTAAGCCCCTTTAAATATTGCTTGTAATGTTCAGCATCTATCAGTTTTTATTATTGTCGTTTAGTTATGAGCTATCTTCCAAATACTGCTAGAATATCAATGACGCGTTAGGTCTGTGTGAAATCAGGAGATAGTGGTCCATTGGTCGAATGATTCATATCACATGCCAAGCGATATCAATAACTCATGAGGATCGAACACCGAATGATATTGATCATTATTAAGTATCTCTTGTAACGGTAAACCTATATTGAAGAATGAACAACATGATCGCTATCAACTATCTTCTAGATATTTCCGTATTACCAAAAACGCTATAGACATACACTCATGAGTTATTGGTCGAACAATTCATGAATACCAAATGCAAGGCGATATTATTGGTTCATGAATATCTTTTCCCGACCAAAAACGATGATTACTGAGCATTTCTAATAATGGTAATTCGAGAATTATTGAGAATGACTAATATGCACGGGGCTTACCAACTATTGATCTTATCTTGTACTTGTGGTCAGCTATGTTCTAAATATTTCCGCAACACCAGAAATATATTCATGAGATGTTGGTCGAATGGTTCATAGATAACAAATGCTAAGCCAGATTAATCATTAATGAGCATGTCTCATAATGGTAATTCGATACCGAAGAATGAATAGCTACCAGACAAGTCTTGCAGGCAATATTTTTGGACATTCACATTACTAACAGTATATACCAGATTTTGTTCCGTAGGTCAACACTAGTCTAACATTGGGTTCGATTTCACTCTGCATCTCTGATACAATGCTCACTACGTACCAACTTCATATTTAATATGTAACCCTATACTGAATGCCAGCTAAACAACAAACGAATATTTAAATAAAAGCTGTGAACATACTAACCAGGTGTCGTTGAAGTATTCAGCAAACTATTAATATATACCGCATCCCCCCTCATCATCTATCACTTAAGTAGCAAACAAATGCTACTTATATAACACATACTTGCGGTGGAAATATGAAGAAAATACTGACCCTCACAGAATCGGTTACCATTCATACAATGCTCACACCAATTTTACGATGTAGCCTGACATTGCAACAGTCTTATCCCATAAATTTTAATGTATTTGAGTAGTGGTGTTGGATTTACACTACTCACATCAGAGTATATCGTATATCATGAACAGTCAGAAATCCTCAATGGTCCGGAATTTTGAAAAAGCCCATAGCGCTGGGTTTCGGGGTACTCTTTACAGTAGCTATACATACAATAAGAAACAGGGGTTGGCATTCATTGAACAGCAACTCGATGTAAAAGCTTGAACCATGAGGAACAACACTCCTGATTGTCTTTCTATAATTATGTTAATCAAGACCTATTCTAAATATTCAGACCCGGGTACATCGCTTGAACCCTGATCCTAAACCTCAAGCTCCGAAGCAAGACAATGCAAGAAAGCACAATAGAAGACACAAGTCACATATCGTACAGTACAACGCAGCAGGAGACTTCCGGCTTGCAACAGTTTCAGTTACACTGTGCCTGTTCCCCCCACTCCCCCAGACCCACCGATGGTGGATCATCGGGGGTGGGGGGCGAGCAATATGTATATATGATCCCGGTTCGGC